TTAAGTGTTCTCTGTTTATGTAACAGAAAAAATGGAAGCTAGTTCAAAGTCAACAATTTAATAAAATATGATACACCCAGAATTTGATTTCTAAACACCATTTCCCACTAAAATAAACCAGGTTTCTTGGAGAAAAGGCAGATTCCAGGGCTGGAACAGGGAACATACAACATGCCCTGGAGCATCTTCTGGCAGAAAGCAAAAAGTGCTCTCAAAATGATGGGCACATTTCAAAAGGACATAGGATCCAGTTTAAAAGGGCTCCCATGGGCCAAATCCAGATGGTTTAAGGATCAGAATAGTAACAGAATGTTTTAGAATGAAGAAAGTCCATATTGATATAAATAAATAAATAAGTAATGCTATGGTTTGAACGTATATGTCCCTCCAAAATTCATATGTTGGAAATTAACCCCAAAGGTGATGGTATTAAGAGGTGGGGTCCTTGGGAGGCTACTAGGGCCATGAGGGCTCTGCTCTTAGGGATTGGATTAGAGCCCTTATAAAAGGGCTCGGGGGACCTAGCTAGCCCCTTTTTGCATTTCCATTTCTTCTGCCATGTGATGACACAGCAACAAGGCACCTTCTTGGAAGCAGAGAGCATCCTTCACTGGACATGGAATCTGCTAGCACCTTGATCTCCGGCTTCCCAGCCTCCAGAACTGTAAGAAGTAAATTTCTGTTCTTTATAAATTACCTTTCTCCGATATTTTGTCCCAGCACAAATGGACTAAGGTAAATAAATAGGGGAAAAGGAAAGCTCTTCCTTGTAGTGGAATGACAACTAATAAACATAGAAGGAATAATGAGGTTATAAAATCACCATTTTACAACTACCATAATAATAATTATCAAGAATCATCAATGTGAGGGTGAAAATTTGAGGAGGAACAGGATATTTTCATAGTCTCAAACTACCTCCCCACAAACTACTTGATAATCACAAAGGGAAAAATAGTAACTTGACAATGGATTGATCCAGCAACTACAACCTTATGCACATAATCCAAATTAATGTCACTAACGATGAGACAAATCAATATTATGTGCTTCCTGCTACGATGCCCTGAGAATATAACTTCCGTGGTACTTCAGCAAAAATATATAATCTCTCTCCAATTATGAGAAATCATCAGAC